CCATATATTACCGCTTGAGGTGGTCGAGCAGGAAGAGGAAGGTCACCAGGTTGGCCTCCGGTAGAGACAGCAGCAGGTTCAGCATGCAGCTCTCCTTCGCCTCCCTGTCAGACAGCGCTGAGGGACAAAAACACACAAGTCAGGTCTAGAATCATGTCTGACAAGTCCTGACAAGTCAAATCCCTAGTACATGCATTTGTCACCACCCGCTTGGACTACTGCAATGGTGTCCTGTTCGGGGTTCCCAACAAAACCCTGGACAGGCTCCAGTATGTCCAAAACTGTGCTGCTAGGGTACTCACACACACAAAGCCGTGGCAGCACATCACTCCCACCCTCATCCACCTACACTGGTTGCCGGTCAAGTCCCGTATATCTTACAAAGTACTCCTCCTTACCTACAAGTCCCTCCATGCCCTTGCCCCCCAGTACCTATCGGACATCCTTCACCCACATGCCCCACCCCGGAACCTGCGGTCCTCAGCCTCTGGCCTGCTTACCACCCCCTGCACCAAACTGCGCCCTCAAGTCCCATCTGTTTGCCAAGGCTTTCGGCCCCTAATCGATCTGTTGTTTTGTCTGTCTGACGTCTGACTTTTGTTTTGTTATGTTTGTTTTTGCCCTATTACTGTAAAGCGACCTTGGGTCCCTTGAAAGGCGCTATATAAATGCAAGCTATTATTATTATTATTAAATGTGAAAGTCTGGATTTAACAAGTCCCAAGTCAAGTCCCAAGTAAAGACAGGCAAGTCCGAAAACCAAAAGTCTAAGCAGTCAAGTGTCAAGTCAAAACCAACCAATCTCAAGTCAAGTTCCAAGTCAAGACAGGGAAGTCCCGAAACCAAATGCCAATTCAAGTCTTCACCAGTCGAGACTAACAAACCCAACAAACCCAGAGTCAAAAGTGACAAATAACTATTCAAGGCATGTTCCAAGTCAAGACCGACAAATCAAGTTCCCAGTAAAGACAGAAAAGACCAAAGTCACATTTCAAGTCAAGAATGACTCGTGCTGATTCTAAACTAACAAATCCCAAGTGAAGTTCCAAGTCAAGACCCAAATTGAAATGAATACGTTTAAAGTCAAATCCCAAGTCAAGGCAGCAAAGTCCTGTAACCAAAGGCCAAGTCCAGTCGTTACAAATCAAAAACGGACTAATTCTCAAGTCAAGTCCCAAGTCAAATACGTACAAGTTTAAAGCCAAGTCCCCGGTCAAAACTGATGAGTCATATTTTCGTTACAAATTTAAAAAAAAACTAATCCTCAAGTCAAGTCCCAAGTCGAAACGTACAGGTTTAAAGTCAAGTCCCCGGTCAAGACTGATGAGTCACATTTCCTGTCCAAAGTATTGTCGAGTCCCAAGTCAAAACGTACAAGTCCGAGTCAAGTTCCAAGTCATGTAAACTGGATAATAATGAAGTGTTGACTGACCGATGCCTCCAGCGAAGTTTGGGTACATTTCGTCGGTGAACAGCGGCTCCGGCAGCTCTCTGAAATACAGCTTCAGAGTTCCAGCGATGGCGTTCACGTCCATCTCCCTCATCATGAGAGACACGTCTCTGTTGTCTGCGGGGAAGTTGAGACAACAGTTACTAAACGAAAGGCCAGCACTCTTGAATCCTTTAAAAGATCTCTCAAACTCACTTATTCACTCTAGCTTTCAAACTCTTACTCACACTTGGATTAGGAGTATACTGTTTATGTTTTTTAGTTTTCTTTGTACTGTTTCTGTTCCTGATTTTATGGAAAGCGTCTTTGAGCACCATGAAAAGCGCTATAAAAATCCAACGTATTATTATTATTATTATAATAATAAACACCACATTTGTCTACAGGTATATATCTCTTTTTCATTAGTATAAATTATCAGCAGAGGTGGGAAGTAGTGGAGTACAAATACTTTGTTACTGTACTTAAGTAAATGTTTCTGGTATCAGTACTTTACTCCACTACTTATTTTTCTGACTTTTTACTTTTACTTCTTACATTTTGAACCCAAATACCTGTACTTTCTACTTCTTACATTTTGAACACAAATACCTGAACTTTCTACTTCTTACATTTTCCAAACAGGCTGGTTCCTTTAGTTTGAATGTGTGTTTGGTGGCGTGATCATTATTATTTAGAGTCATTGCGTGCCTATTGATTTGAACACGATCCGTGTATCCATCATTTCCTGGTCTTCTCTAAAGAAGAGGGACCAATGAAAACGTTGTTATGTTGCTGTTGTTCAGCATGGAAACATTCATTAGCTAACCCTAACCCTTTTTTGCAAAATACCAAACAGATCATGCATTTTAGCCATGCCTCATTTTGCTCAATTTGACATTTTTTTAGCTCTGTGTTGGTAAGGGCAGATAAGGGCAGAACAGCACCATCTACAGGCCTGGCATATGTACTACAGCGTCTCCAGCGCTTTCGAACGGCAATGGCCGTGGCTGTCTCCTCCTGATTGGTGGAGTTGGCCCAATAGCCGTAGCGCCACCGTCCTGACGTCAGGACAGTGTTCAAATCTGGATCAGTTTTGATCAGATCCGTTGCAGCCCCTTTTTTAGAGATTTGGGTATGGAGGAAAATAGAGAGGGTTGTGTTTTCTGACACTTGGTGAGTTCCCTGGAACACCGGGGACACATATTCATGTATAAAAGACGTACAAAAGTGCATTTTGCATGATAGGTCCCCTTTAAGTACATTTCGAAGCCCATACTTCTTTACTTTGACTTGAGTAAAGAAGTTTAGTCAGTACTTCTACTTTTACCAGAGTATTTTTAAACACGAGTATCTGTACTTCTACTTGAGTAAAGGATGTGTGTACTTTTGCCATCTCTGGTTATCAGTTTGAACTCACTTGAATCAAATGCTGCCTTCAGGGCCTGGATGTCCGTTGCGACGCCAGAGACTCTGTAGATTCCCACCTCGTCCATCCCTCGCCTCTCGATCTCCTCCACACACTGCCTCACGATGAGAGGAACCTTCGAGCGCTCTCGCCTGGTGAGGAGTGACACAGAAACATGTTTTAAAAAGGGAATAAGGGGCTTGTGATAGATTGAATATACGCCATGTACAGTATGGTGGCTTGTAGTAGTACATGACTATCATAAAAAGAACGATCTCCTGGGAGAGTCTGACTTCAAAATAAAGTTGACAAATAACTTCAAAATCAAATCAAACAATAACTGAAAAATAAGAGCGACTGATAACTGATTTCAAAATAAAAGTGCTCAAGAACTGACTTCAAAATAAAAGTGACCAAGAACTAACTTCACAATAAGAGCGACCAAGAACTGACTTCAAAATAAAAGTGACCAAGAACTGATTTCAAAATAAGAGCGATGAAGTAAACCTTCAAAATAAGAGCGACCAAGAACTAACTTCACAATAAGAGCTCCCAAGAACTGACATCAAAATAAGAGCGATCAAGAACTAACTTCACAATAAGAGCGACCAAGAACTGACTTCAAAATAAAAGTTACCAAGAACTGACTTCAAAATAAGAGCGATCAAGAACTAACTTCAAAATAAGAGCTACCAAGAACTGACTTCAAAATAAGAGCTACCAAGAATTGACTTCAAAATAAAAGCATCCAAGAACTGACTTCTAAATAAGAGAAACTAAGTCAACCTTCAAAATAAGAGCTACCAAGAACTGACTTCAAAATAAGAGCGATCAAGAACTAACTTCACAATAAGAGCTACCAAGAACTGACTTCAAAATAAGAGCTACCAAGAACTGACTTCAAAATAAGAGCGATCAAGAACTAACTTCAAAATAAGAGCGACCAAGAATTGACTTCAAAATAAGAGCTACCAAGAATTGACTTCAAAATAAGAGCTACCAAGAACTGACTTCACAATAAGAGTGATCAAGAACTAACTTCACAATAAGAGCGATCAAGAATTGACTTCAAAATAAGAGCGATCAAGAACTAACTTCACAATAAGAGCGACCAAGAATTGACTTCAAAATAAAAGCATCCAAGAACTGACTTCTAAATAAGAGAAACTAAGTCAACCTTCAAAATAAGAGCTACCAAGAACTGACTTCAAAATAAGAGCGACCAAGAACTAACTTCAGAATAAAAGCATCCTTTCCCTGAACATTTCGTGCAATCCTACATTCATTCAATAAGTCAGTCAGCCTAAAAATAATTTAATTAAATAAATGAATAGGAATGATCGTTTAGATTGATGGGATAATGGGTAAAGTAGTGAATAGATGAAACAATACAAACTGAAACTCACTTAGTAACGACGTTGATCTTCACTCCGAAGACACCTGACTGTTTTCTCGAAGGCATTCTCTTCAGACTGAACTCTCTGCTGGTGAACTTCATCGAGAGCTTCACCTCCACCTGAAACGAGAAGAGAAACCTTTATTATGGAGGAACATGTCAGCTGAGAAACAGAAGCATGTGTAGCTTCTGCTCAGCTGAACACTCTACAAACAACTCTACAACTCTACAAACAATCATAACATCAGTATATTATCATATTTGTATTGAGAATAAAAGGTAATTTTATATTATATATAATTTATTTATATTTTATACCACTTTTGCAATAATAAATACTCAAAATATTTGAATTATTTAACACTTTAATGACTAAATTAGGTGCAAAATTGCCTCTTAATGTCATCGTATTTCTTTCCCTTTACTTTCCCCTTAACCTCCATAAAGGCCGCTGAAAACCGGAAGCCAATTTTTGTTAATTATTTGCAAAAAGGGAAACTCAGATGGTTTCCTTTAGCTTTCCCTGACTTTTCTCTAGCTTTCCCTTAGCCTTCCCTTAACTTTCCCTTAGCTTTCCCTTAGCTTTCCTTTAACTTTCCCTTAGCTTTCCTTTAACTTTCCCTTAGCTTTCCCTTAGCTTTCCTTTAACTTTCCCTTAGCTTTCCCTTAGCTTTCCTTTAACTTTCCCGTAGCTTTCCTTTAACTTTCCCTTAGCTTTCCTTTAACTTTCCCTTAGCTTTCCTTTAACTTCCCCTTAGCTTTCCCTTAATCTTCCTTTATCTTTCCCTGACTTTTCTCTAGCTTTCCTTTAGCCTTCCCTCAACCTTCCTTTAACTTTCCCTTAGCTTTCCTTTAACTTTCCCTTAGCTTTCCTTTAACTTTCCCTTAGCTTTCCTTTAACGTCCCCTTAGCTTTTCCTTAACCTTCCTTTATCTTTAGCTTTCCCTTAGCTTTAACCTCACTCACCCTCCTTTTACACGGTCACTTAAAAAAACAAACCTTACCCCATTCATGCCGATGACCGCCCTCTGCCAGTCTTTGTTTTGCAACGTCTGAGGATCCAGCTGAAAAATAAAACAAGAGACAAATTACATTTCAAGTTTAACTAATGTCGATCCTCTTCAGACATATTGTGCCAGGTAAGGGTTTCCTGCTCCATGCTCTCCCTCAGCCTCACATAAACATAAAGTCCATATGGCCGGGTGTGTCAGATCTATTTTAGTAACCGGACTAATACCAAACTGTCAGCCTGTCTTCAGAGTGATCAGGCATGAGAACCGTGATACCATCATGTAGTCGCTGAGCACTGACCAACATGGCAGATGTCTTTTCAACCTTAAACAAACATCAAATCTCATTCCCGAGATACTTTGTTTAGTGAAAATTAGGTTTCTTATGTTATATTTTCAATGAAAATAAATAGAGGTAGTACAATGTGGCTTTCAACACTAAAGGAATACATCCCAACAGATATTAAACACAGTGTATACCAGAAATAGTTTTTTGAACATTGCTAGAAAATAAGAGGAAGCGAAAACAAGATTCTCCTTATGAGACACTGGTGGATATGGTAAAAAAAAAATAAAGCAATAGATATCATAATAACACTTTGCCAGTTGATTACTGACAGTGGGACAATATGTTTTTATATTACAAGTTTTATTAAGTTATTTGTTAAAAATCTCAAATGAGGCAATTTCTTATTAGAAATGCGCCAAATGGCATCGATACCTAAATGGAAATGTGAGCATTAAAATAAATTAACTAACAGATATCACCATGAAACTTCCCCACTTCCTTACTGACATTAACACAATAACTTTTTATATTGCAAGTTTTCTTAAATATTGTGTTTGAATATGCAAATGAGGCAAATTGTAATGCTAACTTCTGGTGAATTAAGGAGAAATCGACAGACACAGATAGACAAAGTAAGTAAAATATACTCCTTAATGTGGATTTCGTATGTTTTCTCTCACTGGTCTGAAAGAAGATATATTATGGAAGTCAAATAGCCTGAAATCAGTTGCAGCATCCTTTCCAACGAGCTCTCCTGGCTCTTTACCTTGGGTCTGATCAGTCTGTTGCGGACTCTTTCCCACAGACGGGCCCCTGTGCTCTGGGTTTTCCTCGGAGTCGAGTCTACTTCTTCCTCTTGCCCAATACAAGCATCAACAACACTCTCATCCTCATTAGGATTACTCTCACTCATACTTCCTCAACTCTTAAACTGTCACTTTTGCTGAATTATAGCAAAACAAAGCGCTGTTCCTCAGATAGCACCAAAGTAATTCCCTCTTCTTCACATCTCCTTTAATGATCTCGATGATCTTCTTTGACGCCGCTCTGCAGAATCTCTACAAATCTTCCGGTCATCTCCACGTCTCGGCATTGTTTTCCTCCGTTCTTTCCAGTGAGATAAGAACAAAGAGAGCCATGCAGGCTGCTGACCACGCTGGGTTGTTCTACTTCCCTGCTGGATTTGTGGGATTAACTCCTGAGAATCCCCTCCTACCCTCATTAACGTCGAGCGGCTGCCAATGAGAGGAGAGCCGGACGCTAATCTAAACTCAGGTAGCATGAACAGGATTAGTTAACTCTAACACCAGGCTTAGTCACATCTGAGACAATATTCAGTCATCTTTTATTTTCTCACAGAGCAGGTTTTAAGGTACTAATACAATCAGCACAGTACAGGTTATTCCATATTATTTGAGTTTAATTGAAGTACATATGTTTCGTTATGTTATTAAAGTATATCTTGGATTTTCCAGCTGTCACATCTCTTTGTAACTAAAATATGTTGCTTTCATCCAATTCTTGATTCCAATTCATTCCAATTATTTAAAGAAAGCAAACAAATATAGAATTTTTTTAAACAAATAATTGTTTTATTTATATATTTTAATCCATATATATTTTGTATAGAATTTCAAATATTTTAATTATATGTATTTATTTAATTTATTATATTTTTCATATTTTAAATTAGACTTTTTAACTATTGTTATTGTTTTCCGTTTAAAATTGTATTATACATATTTTCATATTTTGTATTAATATTATTTGTCTAATTTGTATACGTTAAAACTATTATTATACATTTTTCTAAAATTGAATTGCTTTTGTATTTCCTTAATTATTCTTCTAAAACAATGTTATGATATTTAATAATAATAATTTCTTACTTATTCCTATTTCTTTTGCATTAGTTTTATAATTAATATTGTTCTTATGTTTGTTTAAATAGTATTTAACATAGTCTTTTTTATTTTCATGTTTTAAAACGGTTATATTTTCATGTGTGTTAATTCCTATACAGCGTCACCTAACAGTAACACTTATTTGTTGTGTCATGTTGTCATTCCTCAGACCCTAAGCCCCCTCAAAGGTAAAAACAGTCTCCATTATGCTGATCCAAACACCAACAAAACAACAAAAGGACCAACGTGACCCCACAGGTCATGAAGGGGAAATCCCTGACAGTTTCTCCAGGTTTCTGAGTGACTGTCCAGCAGAGAGAGGGTTTCTCTGGCTGATCAAAGAGCATCTCTCCCCCTCTGTCTAAAAACACTAATCCTCCATCACAACTCCATCAGGGGCCTCATGCTGAAGGGCCCTAAGGGAGGCCTGTTTCTCCTGAGGGTCAGTGAACGCGTCACAGTTGACAGGCAGTCGTTGTGACTTGTGGCTGTGAGTGAGTGAGAGAGTGTCGTTCTGATCGGATAGGAGTTGGGATAGAGGTGTGTGTGTGTGTGTGTGTGTGTGTGTGTGTGTGTGTGTGTGTGTGTGTGTGTGTGTGTGTGTGTGTGTGTGTGTGTGTGTGTGTGTGTGTGTGTGTGTGTGTGAGATAGTGACAAGTGACTTAGTTCTTTGTCGTTTTTTATTGACTTTAAAATTAGTTTTCAGGTCTAATTTTAAAGTTTGGATTCTGAGAAAAAAGTCAGATTTCTTCTTATAATTATTTTTACAAAATTAGTTTTGACTAATTACATTGATTTGATTTCTGACTTCAAATGATTGATTTGACAAATAATTTAAATTGTGTTATAAGAGTTCAACTCTAATTTATTTCTCCCGTTGTATGAATAGAGAACCGCAGTGACGCGTCCTAAAACCCGGAAGTAAACTTCTTCCGGTTCCTTCGTCAAAAACGCAATACAATTTCTCCATAGGATTTTGGAAAATAGCTTGAAATAAGGTTTGTGGTTGAGACACATTTAAGAGACGGATCACGTTTTGTTCAGCCGGATAATATCCACATGTCTACCCATCTCTGATTTTTTCGAATCATAAATCTATCGATTAGATTTATGATTAGAAAATTATAAAAGTAGGGTACATGTGGATATTATCCGGCGTTTTTGTCGAAGGAAGCGGAAGAAGTTTACTTCCGGGTTTTAGGACGCGTCACTGCGGTTCTCTATAGGATTCATAAGGGGTAAATAATTAGTGTCAGAATATAGAAAAAATAGCCAGAATGTGTTTAAAAGTTATTGTATTTTTATGTGCGTTCCTCAACAATCCAGTCCTGTTGATCAGGCTCAAATCAGTTGAATGAAGGAGGTGTGGTAAAGTATATCCCTAAAACACGATGAATCATTTCCCGCCCGTACCTTTATTTGCCCCTTGGCCATGATCCTGTCGGTGACCTCCGCCTCCTCTTTGCTCTGCCGGCAGCACTTCTCGTAGCAGAGCAGCCTCACCGTCTGAGAGCCCTCCAGCTCGATCTCAAACTCCTTCAAACGGGAAATAAAAACATGTTACTGCAGGTTCCAGACCGGTGCACAACAAAGGACTTTCATTTGAACCACTGGACGGTTTGACTGAGCGTCCATGGGCCTTAAAATGGTAATATGCATTTAACATCTATAGGGAACATTGTCCTTTAATACCTTTCCAAAAGGAATACTTGACCCACAAAATGACAGTTTGTATATCAATTACTCTCCCCGTGTTACCTTGAATTCTTGAAGATAACTTAGTTTTTCTCACAAGATTCAAATCACAGAGAAGATTCATGATGAATTGAAGCAAATGGGGGCCATGTTTAAATAAAAAGTATATCAAAACATCCAATTCTGCAGTATGATCCAAGTCTCATTTATCCAGTCGTATTCTCACTACTCTACAAAAAACATGCATTTTCTCTTAAAACGTCTGTATTTAAAACACGTCTGCACAAATAGTCTCAAACTTGTGAACGCACTTCACGTCCAAAGTGTTTGTAATAGTGCAGTTTTAGTAAGAGAGTCTCAGATTGCACTGTACAATTTATTTGTATTTAAACCCTGCCCCCATTTACCCCATTCATCAAGAGTACTCCACCAAAAACATGACTTAAAAAAAAGAAATGCCATATTTAAATTGTTTACGAGAAGTGCCTGCACAAGTGTAACACTATTTAGTGGTTTAAAGAGTAAAGTTTTAACGGAAAATGCATGTTTTCTGTAAAGTAGTGATCAGACGACTCGATATTTGAGACTTGGTGAAAACTGCACGAGTTTTTAAGTAAATATTTATATAGACACGGACAGATTTTCCTCAATACTTTTCTTTGTTATAGATTCTTCTACAAGATCAAGTTTTCTTCAAGAGTTTAAGGTGACCTGAGGTGAGTGCTTGATATACAGATGGTGAAGTACTCCTTTAAGGACACACAGTGGTGGATCCTGATCTCCACTCTCTCCGCTGTGTGCACTCACCTCGTTCCAGTTGGGCTCCGTCGAGTCTCTGTAGACGCGGGTCTTGGCTTTGTTGACAAAGTATCCGAAGGAATCCACCTCCAGAGAGCAGTACAGGTCTGGTGGGGGCAAGCAGAGGCAGTTTTAAACATCCGAACAATAAAACCCGCTGACAGCTTTCAAACACATATATTTAAAACAAAAACTGTCCTTTCACATTAATATGTCTAAGTTTTAAATAGTTATATCTTATCACTTTATTCTGCGTGTCTTATTTGAAATGATACCAACAAAATAAACCATTTGCACAACAAGCAATATCCTGTAAAAATAAAAATATTCTGCATTTCTGAGGCCAACAGTTAAATAAAAACAGCTGCAAGACTGAAGGCTGTTTACACACAGCAGACAGAGAGGTTCCTGTAGTGTGTTCAATAGGTTTTAGTGCATGTAAATGGTCTGGAAAGTAGAGACACTACATACTGATATACACCTGAACATCAGCAGGAGAGGACTCTTTAAAGTAGAGACACTACATACTGATATACACCTGAACATCAGCAGGAGAGGACTCTTTAAAGTAGAGACACTACATACTGATATACACCTGAACATCAGCAGGAGAGGACTCTTTAAAGTAGAGACACTACATACTGATATACACCTGAACATCAGCAGGAGAGGACTCTTTAAAGTAGAGACACTACATACTGATATACACCTGAACATCAGCAGGAGAGGACTCTTTAAAGTAGAGACACTACATACTGATATACACCTGAACATCAGCAGGAGAGGACTCTTTAAAGTAGAGACACTACATACTGATATACACCTGAACATCAGCAGGAGAGGACTCTTTAAAGTAGAGACACTACATACTGATATACACCTGAACATCAGCAGGAGAGGACTCTTTAAAGTAGAGACACTACATACTGATATACACCTGAGAATTAGCATTATATGTCCTCTTTAAGAGAATCTCAAAATCAAACAAACCACTGATTGTTTCCTGGCTACCTTTTTGCGACAGTTAGTACAAAGTAGAGTTTGATCAGCGAAGATGATGTGAATCCATCTGCAAACTGTGGAATAATCTAGTAAAAACCAGGAGAATAAATAAGCCACTTACTCAAGCTCTGTTTCAGCCCCGATGCAGAGTGCACGATGACGTTCAGGAAGCCGTACAAACCGGAAGATTCATCATCTGTGGAGGAGGGGGGGGATTCATATCAGGATGAGATACAAACCTGCAGGTACAGTTTGTCAACAGAACAATACATTATGAGTGGTACCTTCTTTATTCATGGTCATTGGGATGGAGTGCACCGTCTGCAGCTTCACACACGAGTTGGTGAGCATCTGCAGCTCCAGGGAGGTCAGGGAGAAGCTCTTAAAACCTGCAGGACACAAGGGAGGTAGATACAAGTTTATACAACAGTTTCATGCAAATATGTCCTTATGGATGGAAATCAAAATGCCTGAGTTAAAGGTGGGGTAGGTAATTTTGGAGAAACCAGCTCGAGTGCGCTAGAATTTGAAAATACACGACCGGAGAAAATCTGCCACTTCCTTACAGAGCCCCTCCTCCAACACACACGAACGCGCACATGACCAATGAGGGCACGAGATAAGTTTGTGCACAGATGGAAGGCTGACAGGCAGGTAGGCCATCCAGTTATTTTAGCCGGGCCGGCTAAAATGATTGGTCGTGCTTTTTACAGTATTACGGCTTCCACAGATGACATTTTGTAATGGATTTTTTGTCAAAGCACTTAAGATATTCATTGCTATCGGGATGTTAAGAGCATTCCATGGAATATAACAAAGTGTATCTCGAGCCGGTTTCTCAAACTTACCTACCCCACCTTTAATTTCTATCTTTGCATAAAATACATGAGAAAATGATTTGATCAATTCATCAAGATATGGCAACTGCCCACCAGCTGAATGCCATCCAGTCGTTTTTAGTAGAGCTATTAAACTAAACTAAACACAACATGGACAACATAGACTTCTGTAATGCCATTATGTGGTTTATAACTTCAAGCAAGACACACCCTTATGACATTACAACTGATATGATATTAACACTGCGTCTCCGATAACTCACACTTCTTCTGCTGCTCTCGGACGATCTCCCTCCACTCGGCTCGCTCGTAGTCCGAGGAGATGAGGAACATGAAACCCTGGAAGACATTAAGAGAGGATTTAATGTGGTTTATTTGACTGCACACTCATGCTGTGGTGTCCCACTTCCTACCAGCAGAGGGCAGCAGACACCAAAGTTAGAAGTGATGGATCAAGATATTCCCATCGATGTTTTACAGGGATTAAACACCTTTGAATATCTCCCTCTGAAGGAGAGACACTATAGGCAAAAACACCTTCATGCACCTTCCATAACGTGTGCTCACCTTTCCGTTTCTGCTGGCCACTCTGAAGGCCATGGTGGGCGACATGAGGAGCAGCATAGACTCCTGCTCCGACAGCTTCTTCCTCAGGCGCTCCATCACCTTCACTCCTTTGGTGGTCCTCTGCAGAGCAACAAAACCAAGTTAATGTCATACAAGGTCTAATATTTTATTATTATTTTACAGTTTCATTATTTTATCAAGTGTATTTACTGTATAGTGTTATTTAATCATGTTTATTGATCCGTACAGACTCTAAAGCCCCCTGAGACAAATGTAATATTTATGATATTGGGCTATATATACATAATCTGATTTAATTTGACATGTCACAAACCATAAACTCCACCTTATATCTTGTGTTGGTGATGATTGCTTTCTCTGTGTTTGCTCACCTTCTCTCTCTGGATGTCGTTCTTGATCTGTGAGATTCTGATCTTCATGGCGTCGATCTCGTCCTCCGGCAGCAGCGGGACGGGCGTGGACTCGCAGTCCTCGATGTTCTGGAAGGTCAGGTCGGCCAGCGGGATGAACCACTTACAGTCGTACTGCTGCCCTTTGCTGGGGAAGAACAAGGTTTTAATATAAGGCTGAACGATTAATCAAATATGAATGCAGGAGTTTGGTTACCGCAATTAAATGGACATGATCCACGGCCCCTAATTCTTAATCTTAATCTGACTGTTTTTTTGTGTTTGTTTTACTCCTGCTTTTTCTGTAAAGCGACCTTGGGTCCCCTGAAAGGCGCTAAATAAATGTAACTTATTATTATGATCAACGAGTATATTAAAGTTTTGAAAATGTGTGTTAAAAAATGTGCAGATTTGCAAGAATTAAGCACAAAGGGAAAGCTGTAATCCATTTAATATAAATGTCAAATAAAAAGAATACAAAATAAATAATAATACTACAAAAAATAATAATAATAATAATAATGTTCTCAAAATTAAACAAAATCATGGAGCCCCAGTAAAATAAAAACATGTATTTAAATGTATATTTTTATTTATTTATATAAAAAAAATGTTTTTAATATTTTAAACTATTTTAAAAGCAGTGGCTCTTCCAGGTCACAGCCTCCCTCTCCCCCCCCCCCGGACCCCTCTCCAGACTCACCCGGCGGCCTGCTTCTTCAGCTTGGTGCAGAGCAGCAGGTCCGTGAACAAGAAGACGTGACGCAGCTTCCTGGATCCCTCCACCAGCTCCACCATGAAGCGATCCCTCAGCAGCTGACGGTGCTGCAGCAGGGAGAGAGGAGGCACGTCAGGTCACACGCAGTATCTAACTCCCAGATACACACCCAGAAATAATGATGTATTAACTAGGTAATACCAATACACCAGTGTGTATATTGTATTATAAAACGGATTAGTCAAATCAAGCAATCTGATTGGTTCTTAGCCGTGATATAATGAGCGTATATCACGGGTAGAATTGTAGTTACTTTTCACAACAAGTCAGTATCCCTCCGCGTCTGAGAAAAAGCTCCAGCTGTTACATTACGTCCGTTACGAAACTAACTAACTAACAAAGCTTAAGATGGAAACGTTTAAGGTTAACTTCGACCTCCGGGGTGGCCTCACTATGGAGGAGTGGATTGAGCAGTGCCTATCTCCAGAAAGCACCTAAACGACCTTAAATATACTGTAAGTGCTATGTATTATAGTACAATGTGCACATTTCTACTATAACTTCTTATGTTTAAATACATTTTTGTACTTTATTTTATCTTATATTTCACATTTTGCTTTCCTTTCTTGTTTATATAAATATCTTCTTTCTATTTTATTTATTTTATCTTATCTTACTTCTTACATTTAAATATTTGTATTTTGATCTTTTATTGCACAACCTTAGCTTAACATTCTTACTTATTTTTGTTTGTAAAAATATGTATTTTTTTTTAATTTTATTTGAAATGTAATGTTTTTTCGTTGGACAATTTATTTTCATTTGTTGTTTATATAGACATCTTTATTTTTTAAATATTTGTATTGTATATTCTTACTTTAACTTCTAATGTTTATATGTATATTTGTATTTTCATTTCATTTTATCTTTTTATTGCATTTTTATTTTATTCTAAAATGGAGTAACTGACAAAACCACATTTTTCTCGAGATGCTTTTTAAAAAAAAATCTTAATTTCTCGGTTGTTTTAACCCATGAAATCCCCATTTCACTGAACCAAAAGCAAACACTAAGAATTGCTGAAAGCACAGAAGCTCTTTGAGGTTTTAAAATGTAAACTGCTTTAATTTGAAGTTCACAAACAATTATTTTTGTGCTGATGTTTGTGCGTGCTTATGAGTTATTTGAAAGCCTCTGGTGTGAAACTGCAGTCAGATGAATGCTACCATACCACATGGAGGAAGTAAACTAAATAACTGCAAACAATAAATCATTTGTGATCAAACTAAAACCAGGCAGTAGGCGTTTATTCAACTTGCAGCATCTGACATAACGATGCATGTTAGCATCCCGTTAGCATTTAGCATGCCTGTGACTCTCATTTTTCATGTTGTCCTTCATTTAGCAATAGTTTTTCCTCCCTTTCCTCCAATAATGGATGTCTGTGGCCTGTAATCCTGGTTGATCCGAGCTGCCTGAGGGTGGAAACATGTGATGACATGAGCTCATCCTGCAGCAGCGTGCAGATCAATTCCCCCCCCGCCTTTTGACCTCAGGCTGTTTACAGTGACACTGAACACATGTGAGCCCAACCAGTGTGACAAAACAACAAGGAAATCACTGCAGTGTGGCGTCCCCTTCTCTGTTTTCTGAACACAAACACTGGCCCCCGATCCTGTTCAGCACTGTCCTGGTTTCACTCTGCAGGGTGTCATCATAGACTGTATATATAAAGGGTGTCATCTGCTTATTGTGCTGTGAAACCAGCATGACCACGAATATATAGTCAATCATCCAATAGGAAACAAGCTGTAACTGCACAGTATCAGTGGTGGAAGAAATACAATTTTGTTCTATGCCAATAGTAGTTGAGAAGCAATACTAAAATGTGTCGTGCATTCAAAATCTTACTTCACCAAAAGTACATAAGTGTTGGCATCAAAATAAACCTACATTACTAAAAGTTTAAGTACTTGTTGTGCGTAATGGCCCATATCAGAATCATATATATTAACCCTTAAATGGGCAAGTACATTAATTTACTGATGTTTGTTATATTACACCCCAGTACACTGTCTTTACACCCATAATAATGAACCATTAATACACCTTTATTACACTTTTATGACTTCATGTTACACATTTATACACCCATTTTAGACCCATATTACACTGTAATTAAACAGTTAATAAAAAACAGTTATTACACTGTTATTACACCCATATAACTCCGTAATTTCAACCATGTTACACCCGTATTAAACCCTTACAACACCTGTATTACAGTGTTATGACACCCATGTTACACATTAATACACCCATTTTAGACCCATATTACACTGTAATTACACAGTTATTACGCTGTTATTAAACTGTTATTACACTGTTATTAAACAACAGTTATTACACCCATATAACTCCGTAATTTCACCCATTTTACACATGAATACCCCTATTTTAGACCCACATGAGACCCATATTACACTGTTATTAAACAGTTATAACACCGTTATTACACTGTTATTGCACCCATATTGCACATGGACACAGTCTGTCAAATGACTGTTTCACCTAGAATACAGAAACCATTTGAGGGTTAAATCACTGGATTATAAGTATTGATTGCACTTAAGTACTTGAGTAAATGAACTTCATTACATTACCACTTTGCACTACTGGTAAGTGCTTTGTTTTTTTCTTACGTACTAAAATAAGACACTGAGCTAACTCTGAACAAACTGGTTGAAATGCTTGTGGTAATTACAAGGAAAACATCAACAATGGGTGCAAATGTGTTCACATCCACCGACAACTCCCTGTTTCAGACCGGCTGCCATGTGCTGGCATGTTCTCTGTTACTCTCCTGACTTCCCATTTATATATAAAGGAACTTTCCCTTTGATTTCATATCCCAGGGCCAGTTCCAGGGAATAGAGAGGAAGTTCTCAGACAGGTCATCTGAATCAGAGCCTTACAAAGGTTGTGTTTTAGGGGGGTCAGGAAACGTGGGTAATTCAGTACACACCCACCCAGAAGGCTAGTGAGACAGACAGTTTGATAAGCCAAGCTGCAGGTCATTTCTGGGAAGCAGAGGTGGGAGGAGTACTCAGATCTTGAGTAAAAGTAGAAGTACTCAGATCTTGAGTAAAAGTAGAAGTACTCAGATCTTGACTAAAAGTAGAAGTACTCAGATTTTGAGTAAAAGTAGAAGTACTCAGATCTTGACTAAAAGTAGAAGTACTCAGATCTGGTACTTGAGTAAAAGTAGAAGTACCAGAGTGTAGGAATACTCTTGTTACAGTAAAAGTCCTGCATTCAAAATGTTACTCAAGTAAAAATAGAAAAGTGTTATCATCAAAATATAGTTAAAGTACCAAAAGTAGTCATTGTGCAGATTGGACATTTCAGAATAATATATATGATATGTAGTCAGAGGTGGGAAGCAACTAAGTAAGTTTATTCAAGTACTGTACTTACATGTAAGTAGCATTTTGAGATACTTGTACTTTACTTGAGTATTTCCATTTGATGCTACCTTGTACTTCTACTCCACTACAATGAATACTTTTAGTTACTTCACAGATGTGGATGAATGATGTGAAATATAATCAAGTGTTAAATCAGACTTTAGTTCCACCTGGAGTGAATTCACAAGCTACCCTGCAGTATACAAAGTCATTCAAACTAGCTGCACCTTTACCAGCTTTGAGAACACTTTAATGATCAATCATTATAAAACACATCATAGATATTATTCTGAAATGGACCAATCTGCACAATGACTACTTTTACTGTCGCTACTTTAACTAGATTTGATGAGAATACTTTTCTACTTTTACACTTTTACTTGAGGAACATTTTGAATGCAGGGCTTTTACTGTAACAGAGTATTCCTACACTCTGGTACTTCTACTTTTACTCAAGTACAAGTTCTGAGTACTTCTACTTTTACTCAAGTACAGTATCTGAGTACTTCTCCCTCCTCTGCTGGTGAGACAGTCAGTTTGATACGCAAAGCTGTGGGTCATTTCTAGGAAGCAGAGTACATGCAACAGGGAAGGATGGGAGTGTGTGAGGAGTCGATCCCCAGGTTCATTCTCTCCGTTCTCCTCCAGTATGTTTGCTCTGCTTTGTCTCGAGCTTCCTCTCCAGCAGACGGGCTGAGGCGATGAGTCAGAAACGACTGACTCACAGCCCTGTTTTATTGCAGCTTCCAGACGCCTCGCAGCGTTTTACCAGCAACAGACAAGATATGACAGAAACTCCGGGGGCTGATGTGCGAGGCTGGATTTCACAATGCTGCTGTGATTTAACAAAATGTACAGCACTCGTTTATGAGTGTGTTTAATCCTCAAGTCCATATTAACAAGTGTCCTGTCAATCAAGAGCTTTAGTAACAAATTCAATCGTTGCATTTAGCCCAAAAAGAGGCAAAGAACAGACCAAAATATGTAACTTACTCAGTGGCAAGAGACAAATAATTATTTAAATCTCATTTGAGGTATAACTTGAATTACATATATGATGATTGTCAATGTAAAGGATATGTTTTGCACGTAAAGAGAACAGCTTCTGAACAAAACAATAACAAAAGACTGATGTTGTTGGTGTTGTGAAGCTTATATGATCATGGGAATTTTAACTTTCACCTAGTAGGATTCCTTCACTCTTCATTGTTCAGGATTATCCACAGAGGCTTCCTCCTCTCAGAAATAAGCGAACCAGGATATTAAAACGGGTAAAAACACTGAAAATAAAGTGGTTTCACATAAAAAGTCTGTGTTTTCTTTTAGTGGACCCAGGGGCTGGGGAGCTACGAGCTAAAGGTTAGCCTAGCTTGTTTCTCTGATAACCTCAGATCGAGACGTCACATGACTAAAACCCTACATCTGAGTTAAAAAGCACCAAGGTCTAAAAAGTGTGTGGTAAAAATGTGGCTGAAAATAGTATAAAAAGTATATTTATGACAGCTTCTAGCATGTTTAAAGAGGACACGTTGCCATTACAGGAGACCAGAGGAAATGCTAACTTCATTCAATTTAAAGTGGACCTATCATGCTATATTTGAATAATATAGTGTAGGACCATACCTATATAAGGCATATTTATACTTTTTTTTTTTCAAAATACCAAACAGATCATGCATTTTAGCCATGCCTCATTTTGCTCAATTTGACCATTTCTAGCTCTGTTTTTGCAAGGGCTGATTCTGTGAGAACAGCACCACCTACTGGCCTGGCATATGTACTACAGCGTCTCCAGCGCTTTCGAACGGCAATGGCCGTGGCTGTCTCCTCCTGATTGGTGGAGTTGGCCCAATAGCCGTAGTGCCACCGTCCTGACGTCAGGACAGTGTTCAAATCTGGATCAGTTTTTATCAGATCCGTTGCAGACCCTTTTTTTTAGAGATTTGGGTATGGAGGAAAATAGAGAGGGTTGTGTTTTCTGACACTTGGTGAGTTCCCTGGAACACCGGGGACACATATTCATGTAGAAAAGACGTACAAAAGTGCATTTTGCATGATAGGTCCCCTTTCATTAAATGTACACATGTCTCTAAAACTACACGTCTTGTTGTTTTGAGACATTTTAATGAGGAAATGGAGATATATTTGTATTTATTTATAAGAAGTATAGCTGGCACTATGGTATCTATTGACCATAATGTGTTTGCATTTGGTTTCATCGAGCCTGATGACATTTATTAGATGAAAGTGGATGTAATTTCCCCTATAGAGTATAAGTGAGTGTCCCACACTGACCTCTCCCTTCTGAACGGTCATGGACTGTCTCCTCGGGGTGATTTCTTCATTAATGCTGGACAGGAAGTTCTGAGAGATGCGCAGAGCGTCCTGCAGCAGAGTGTAGTCCGGGTGGCTGGAGGGGGTGTGCTTCAGGAGGTCCTGGAATATTAGAAAAACAAAACATGAAATCACCAAAAGTCTCTTCATGCAGTCAGGGTGTTGCTCCAGATTTGTGTCAACACTCACATGCAGAACGAGCGTGCTGCGCGTCACTCTGTCCACAGGTTTGTAGAGAAGAGCTGAGAAGGAGAAGGAGTCGATCAATCAATCACATCTTGTTTAGATACAAGTTACACGGCTACATTTGGGGCTTTACAATTTGAATAATACAGCATAAGACACCCTCATAGAAACCCCACGATTAATATTAAATGTTAGAAATCTCGGGGAGAGAAACACAGGACGTGTAGAAATTGAAAAAAAAATTACAAAATTAAAACATAGACAATATTAATGACAAAAGCATAATGTGAATGTATCTTTTTGAACATTAAAGCATGGAGACACTACATACTGATATACACCTGAACATCAGCAGGAGAGGACTCTTTAAAGTAGAGACTCTACATACTGATATACACCTGAACATCAGCAGGAGAGGACTCTTTAAAGTAGAGACACTACATACTGATATACACCTGAACATCAGCAGGAGAGGACTCTTTAAAGTAGAGACACTACATACTGATATACACCTGAACATCAGCAGGAGAGGACTCTTTAAAGTAGAGACACTACATACTGATATACACCTGAACATCAGCAGAATAGGGACTCTTTAAAGTAAAAGCAGGCCATTAACTTCACTCAGTACTCACTTTCCAGTGAATTTTTAGCCGCCTGGTCTTTGCAGTCCTTTGTGCTTTTGACCTTGAGATTCTGGCAAGGGAAGAGAAAAAACCCCCCTCATTAAATCACTGCCCCACAGCGCAATTAAAACAATCAGCGTGGCTATAAAGAGCTGCGTGGCTGTTCCTCTGCTGAGAAACTGCCCTGTCATCACTTCTCTCAGGCAGCTGTGCAACATCAAATGTTTTCCTGCTGGGATCACATACCTCAGATATCTCTGCAAACTGAGCGTTCGCCTGGCAGCATTTGTCCGCCGTCTCCACAGCGACCTTATAGTTATCCACAAAGGCCCGATAAACTCCCAGCTGACTCGCCTGCAGGGCACAGATTAGATTTAAACTCCTGAGCAGAGAGGATAGGTTTCACTCTGACTGCAGCTGTGCACTCTGCACGGACACGGTGTGCTTTAATACAGTATGATATGTGAGGAATTAAAGCAACTAAGTGTTATTCAATGAAGAGTGAGTGCATCTTCATCTTAAGATTTGATTAAGAAATGGATTTGGATTCAGCACACACAGTACAGGTGCTTTTTTTTTTAAAGAAAATGATTGCATTAAAAGCAGAGAAAAGTAAATAAATGCAAAGATTATTTAATCAGAACGAGAATAATGACAGAATATTATAATAATTGTAATCTTTCATGCAGAATATCAGAAAAAGCTGTTTTCGGCGTCTCAAATATGGAGACTTCCTGCTTTTCTCTGTTCTATGTCATATTAAAGTGAATATATTTGGGTTACTTACTGAAAAAAACGACATTTAAAAGACATCACTTTGGACTTTTGGGATAGACATTTTCTACATTTTTGACAATTTAAAGACCAACGGATGAATTGAGAAAACAGTCAGACGATGTCTTGATTTGATTGAACTCTATTAAAGTGTGTACAAGACTATGGAGTTGTTATACTTGAACACGTTGTATCCAGTGAGTGCAATAATGTAAACACACATTGACTAAAGGTAACAATTATTAATGCTAAACTAGCGTAAATAAACCATTTTTACCCCAAAGTTTTTAGTGTTTCTCCTGTTCACAAAATGAGGTAGGTATTTTGTGTAATCGTCTGCTTGACACACACTCTGATGTTGTTGTGTAGCATAACGGTTCATCATTAGCAATGTGTAGCTTCTTATTAAGAAACAAATCCTTATTATGAATAAATGTTTGGATGTATTTATAGTCTTAGGAGATAAAAATCTAATATCTTCCAGGAAAGAAAGTATTCTCTCCCGTAACGTCGATATATAAATCCATGAATGTGTGTGTTTCATAGTTTGTATCGCTCCCTGAGCTAGCTGTTATTCAGCGACCTCCTATGGAGCGTTTGGTTCTCTTAATGTGGTGAGCTTTTATCTGTCCGGGGGACGACTCCAGGCAGTCTGCTCACATGTGCACCGTAAGATCCCCCGAAGCATTACTAACAATCAAACACTGCCACCTTTTCCCCATGAAAGTCCCCTCGTTTAACTATTATTAATGATCGAGGCTTTTAAGAAGTGCTATAATTAGTTTCTGAAAGTTACTGACATGACGAATGGTGCTTCGTTTGATCTGAAGCCAACATACCGTTAAATAATGGGAGGTTATTTTCATCCAAAGGAGGTTTTAAATCAACTGTCATACCGTAACTACACCCTTATACTTATACTCAAGCTCCGAGTACTTCTCCCACCTCTGCTCACACTGCAGTTAAAAAAGTGTTTTAAATCAAAATGTTATCGCACATTTCTGTGTTATCAGTGAATCAGATACTCTGTGTTTCCCTTGCTCTCAGATTTCCTTGTTTACTCTTCAGACTGACAGTTTTCTGCTGCGTTCAAGTTCCAACAAATGAAGTGGAAAAACAGGTTTTTGTAGCTTTGGTTCTGCAACACTGCCATGACATGTTTTCCTCCATGATCATATGTCGTAGTTAATCCACCAGGGTTCAGGTTAAGGCAAAATAGAGTCAAGAATTGTCTCTCAATATGAAGTAGGAGACCAATTCTACTTGGATTTTTTTTCCGCTATCCTGACGCTGCCATTGGTCCCATTTCCCATGTCTTAGTCATTTCTAATTGATTGACAGATTAGTTTAGTTTAGTTTTTAGTTTTAGTTTAGTTTAGTTTATTTATTTTTTTCGAGTGTGTAAAACCAAAGAAAATACAAATGAAACAAAAGGTGATACAGACATGATACAGTACTATACAAATGAATGCAATAACAAAACGAAACATTTAATTAATAATTGAATAATCTGTAGTATCATTGTCTGATATCAATAAACAATAAACAACAAAGCTTTAGCTCATTACACGTCCGAAAAGGGGTCAGAAGAAGTTTACACTTATTTAAGTGTAAACTTCTTCTTCTTTTCTAATGACAATATACCAACAAAATGAATGATATGACTCATTAATAATATATGCACAGCCTCTTTGTATGATATTTGTCAAAAGGATAATAAAGTCAAAACATTTATTCCCATCCCAGTATTTTTTTAAAGCACTTTTATAAAATTAATTGACATTTTAATACCAATTAAAGCCTTCTTTTCTGTTTCTTTTAAGACTTTTAGAAATCCGCGAAAACCCTAAACTCAACCATTCAAAAATTATGATATTTGTCTTTTCTCTGCGGCAAGGATGATAATAATTGTTTAAGTATAATTTACAAAATATGAATGGAAGTACATGAAGGAATGGATTGCTTGGCCTGCTTGTGTTGACACGTGATTACAGGTATGAGATAACGTGGTGAAAAACAATTCTTCACATACTCAACTTGCAGATACAACGTTAACACTTTAGTTTCCTGAAGCTATCAAACATCTGATTGGCCTACCAGTTTCTGGAAGAGGTCGCCCACACAGTGCTGGTGGCTCCAGTCCTGCACGCGGGGCAGCAGCGCGTCAAAGAAGTCTTTGTGGATCTCATGAAGCTCGGGCACTTTGAAGAAGATGGTCTCTATCTGCTGGATGGTCAGCATCGGCTGGGACGTCGTGGCTGCAGCTCTCAGAGGCTTCATGGGCTGGAGAAACAAATCATTTAATGATAATATGTTTGTAGAAAGTAGATTTTACACAAACAACAAGGTTAAAACGACACAAAGCGAGAATTTAGGAGTTGTTTCCATAACAATCGTAACTGCGCCACTCCATTAGCACATTTCTTATTATGAAAAGGACATTTTTGTGTGCATGTCACAAGTAAAAGCAAGCCACCAGGAATTCAATTAATTAAACTTAGCTTCTGTTAATATACGATTGAAATCATTTCCAATGGTAAAAGGTTATACAGTCAATGCGCAATTAAGTTTCTGTTTTTTTTCTATGGGTCTCTGATTGTCTGTAGTAAGCAAATAGTTCAACCAGTGTGTGTGTGTGTGTGTGTGTGTGTGTGTGTGTGTGTGTGTGTGTGTGTGTGTGTGTGTGTGTGTGTGTGTGTGTGTGTGTGTGTGGGAGAGCGACACAAGCTTCTTGATACTATATCAAGTCCTCCCATTGCCCGCTCTGTGCAGAAATGTCCCTCGCGCTAAAGCGAGACACCACTTGTATGCGGCAAGGCTTAATTTTTTATTTTAAAACCTGTGGTTAAGATGTCATCCTCCTCCCTTATTTGTCAAGTTGAAATGTTAGCAGAATACTTAACTATAAACAATATGTTGTCATCTCTATTTGTCATTGTATTGGCTTGTTTGTGTGAAACATACTATCAGTAGGGCCTCCAGATGGCCCAGATATGTCTCCTCACTGGCCAGGATTCCTGACAGAACCCACTTCCTCATCTCCAGCCCCTTCTCCTGATCCAACTCAACCTGAAACACACATGGCGGAGAGAGAGAACATCCATCATCAATCATAAAGATAAAATACATTCTCCAAAACAAAAGACTCACAAGAAGGCTTTGGAACGGTTTGGCCCCCCCTGATCCGACTTGCTCCCACTTTGCCTGTTTTTAAATCTCGTTCAAAGACCTACTTGTTCTCCCGTGCTTTTGCAGACCACGTATAACACGTATCAGTCTGTGTTTTCTAAATTGGGGTTTTCTATTTTGTTGTGTTTTAAAATGTTTTTACATCGTGTATGAGGGTTTTCATTCTGTGGCTATAAGGATGGTTTTATTGTCTCGGTTTTGTCTAAATGTATTTATGCTGATTTTGATATATGTATTGATGTGCAGCACTTTGGTCAACTCAATAAAGTTGGATTGGATTGGATAATGCAAACCAAGCCCCCTAAAGCCCACCCCTCTCTGCAGATATACTGTTGTTGTGGGATAAGGTGCGGAGCAGATTTGATTAAACTCTGTAGGAGTTTTACATTCCTAGAGGAGACTCCCTGCATCTTAAAGAAGACAAATGTGGTTCTAGTCCGAGAGTTGTTATTCCTCACGGGTCGGAGCCATCAGTCATCCTGGTGAGAGGTGGCATGTCAGAAAGAAGTGGAGGATTGAGAGGGGGCTGCATGAGGCTCTGAAACACTGCTGCAGGGTGCTTTGGTTTTTTGTACACTAACGCTTAAGTTAAGCTCTAAATAAGCATTGTAATGGTTACCTCAACAAATATCCACTGGGATTTTCCATTGGATTTTGGATTAGTGCAGAAATAAAGCTCTGTGTGGCAAAAGAATAGTTATGGTGATTTCATTTCTTTGTTTAGCAAGATCTTTGAAATGCACCAGTTTTCTGTTTTTGAAGCGTAAATGCATTCGCCAGAAGTTAACATTAGGCTATAATGGAGCGGTCACATGACTTCAACAGCAGCACATATGGTGCGCTTAAATTATATATTGTTATGATATTGGAAATTGTTTACATTTGTTGAGTTATAAGATATGAATCTGTTTATTTTGTACTCTTATAATAAAACTCATTTCCTGTATTGTCGTTATAAATGGACATGCACAATAAGCGTTTCACTTAATGCCGATGTTGTGTGTGTATTTCTTCCTTCGTCATGTGTTAAACTATGTACACGGTATTCCTACCCTAAAATGGCAACGTCAACAACATGAGATACTTGACGTTCAAGAGGTGAGAACACTGCTGCGAGCAACTTTAATGTTACTCTCAGTGTCTAGAAGCTACTGAAGCTAACATTTTAGAAGCTAGCAGTTGGGTAACATCATACAGGAAAAACAAAAAGGCAAAATGAGAAATTTAAAATATGAAGTTATTGGGAAAATCAACATTTTCGTCAGATATATAATATAATATAATTACAAAAAAAAACTCTACGTGTATACAAAACAATATCAATTATTTATTAAAAATGAAAGTATGTTAAAATTGTCTAAAGCTCCTTTGTTGAAGCCCATCAACAAACTCAATTTGTGTCTGGTATGTTTTAAACTAGGTCTTAAGGAAGTATACATTTCACTCTGATTTGGACTAGCTAAAACTAGCTAACTACTCGACTGTGTAACTTAGCATCTTGTTAGCAACAGCCTAATTTAAACAGTATATTTCCTGACGTACATCATGTGAAAGAACAGTCAGAAGCTCCTGAACCACCCATTGAACCAAAAACACCTTTGAGTTGGAGACGAGGGAACCGGAAGTGGGAAAAACGCTAACTCATTCCCTAATTTCTAAATCCTGCAGCACTCTATTATATTAGCCTGATTTTAAAAAGAGCTGCAAGCTGATTTAGCCCCTCTCTCTCCACAGCCATTACGATGATTTAGACTTTGAAGATCCCACATCAGAGGATAGTTATGCCACAGACAGTACAGGCACAGAGTGGAGGGGGAGGGGAACTCTTTAAACATCTGTTCACAGAGAGTGTTTGCTGAGTGTGTTCAGTAAGCCTGTAAAAAAAGTTTTATAATGTCCCAACGGATCGGGAGGAGCTTTGCAGAGTCTGAGATAAAAACCATAACAATGCCTTCGTTTGAGGAAGTGTGACGCTTTTTTAATGTAGGCTTAAAATCTGTTTACCAAAGCTTGTCCAGAAGTCATTTTACAACATTTGATTATAATACTTCAGCTCCTCTTGTACTTGAGTAAAAGTAGAAGTACTCAGATCTTGTATTTGAGTAAAAGTAGAAGTACTCAGATCTTGTTCTTGAGTAAAAGTAGAAGTACTCAGATGTTGTACTTGAGTAAAAGTAGAAGTACTCAGATCTTGTACTTGAGTGAAAGTAGAAGTACTCAGATGTTGTACTTGAGTAAAAGTAGAAGTACTCAGATCTTGTACTTGAGTGAAAGTAGAAGTACTCAGATGTTGTACTTGAGTAAAAGTAGAAGTACTCAGATCTTGTTCTTGAGTAAAAGTAGAAGTACTCAGATCTTGTACTTGAGTGAAAGTAGAAGTACTCAGATCTTGTACTTGAGTGAAAGTAGAAGTACTCAGATCTTGTACTTGAGTGAAAGTAGAAGTACTCAGATCTTGTACTTGAGTGAAAGTAGAAGTACTCAGATCTTGTACTTGAGTGAAAGTAGAAGTACTCAGATCTTGTACTTGAGTGAAAGTAGAAGTACTCAGATCTTGTACTTGAGTAAAAGTAGAAGTACTCAGATCTTGTACTTGAGTAAAAGTAGAAGTACCAGAGTGTAGGAATACTCTGTCACAGTAAAAGTCCTGCATTCAAAATGTTCCTCAAGTAAAAGTAGAAAAGTATTCTCATCAAAATATAGTTAACGTACCTAAAGTAAAAGTACTCATTGTGCAGATTGGTCCATTTCAGAATAATATATATGATATGTTTTATAATGATTGATCATGAAAGTGTTCTCAAAGCTGGTAAAGGTGCAGCTAGTTTGAATGACTTTGTATACTGCAGGGTAGCTTGTGAATTTACTCCAGGTGGAACTAAAGTCTGATTTAACACCTGATTATATTTCACATCATTCATCCAGATCTGTGAAGTCACTAAAAGTATTAAATGTAGTTGAGTAGAAGTACACAGTAGCACAAAATTGAAATACTAAAGTAAAGTACAAGCACCTCTAAATGTTACTTAAGTACAGTACTTGAGTAAATGAACTTAGTTACTTTACACCACTTTACTAACCACTAGTGAGTGTTTGACGTAACCATCGTTTTAAAGTCAGAACTTTATATAATGTTCAACAGTTTAATCTATAGTACAGTTGTTTATTTGAACTAATCATACAGTATGTATACATCTTAATCTGTAAAGTAATCAGTAACTCCAGCTGTCAATTAAACGCAATGGAGTAAATGTTGTCTTTTAAAAGTTGCATCAAATTGAAATTGAAAGCACCTTTAAAGCACAAACACGCAGCAACACACAGGGAAGCAGAAGAAGAAGCAGAAGCAGAAGCAGAAGAAGCAGAAGAAGCAATATCCTCTTTGCAACAGAAAGAACGAGGTTTATAGGAAGTGTTGAAGTACTTCAGTGAAACAATTAAAGCACCGAAAGGGCTGAGGTAACAAATGTGGAGCCATATACTTTAAATGATTGACCTGAAATGAACCTAGTTCTTGGGTATCTTTTACAGTAACTCACAAACAGTAAGCACGGTGAAACAGAGGTGCAGCAACGAGTCCTAAAAGAAATCTAAAATGTGTCGGCATGTTGACATAAATGCAATTTAAGAAAGATGGTCCTGCTGAACAAAAAGCATGTATGTTAAACGTTTGTTGCTATGAAGCTTTGTTCTCGGCAATAATCCAGATTACAGCGGAAAAATCCCATTGTCTTTTTTGTGGATGAAAGTAGTTCGATGCTACCTTCAGGGGTCGGCCTGCTTCTCTGTCCCAAGCGTGAAAACTGAACTGAACATGGAGAAGCAGCGTTCAGTTTTCACGCTCCATACATCTGGAAGAAACCACCAGAAAACTGCAGGTCCACTCTCTGAAAATAAAGACTTTTTGCTGCTGCCTTTTATTAAATCAAATGACTGTTCATATCTTCCTCTGCACTGTATCTTTTATTCTTGTATTTTAAACCTATTGTATTTGAGCTGCTTTTGTCTGTTTTCCCTATTGTCTTGACTGTTCTTGAATGTATTTCAATTCAATTTAACGTAATTATTCCACTATATCTTAATGCTTTAATTGTATTTTTGGTAAGCACTTGTTAAAATGTTAAAATGTTAACACGTTTCCTTATGGGGACAATACAATATATCGTATCGTAAATAAATAAACTTGCCTTGCCTTACACAAACATGTCATCCCCGCACAAATACCAATACAACTTGTACTTTCAAACCCCACAAGGAGAAGCCAGAGCTCCTGAAAGTGTTGCATGGTGTGTGTAGAGAGGACAGTGAATGAAAAAAAGAAACGTTAACAAAACTTCAACTCCTTGTATGTTCGACGTTAGCCTTTTGCTATGATCTACCAGCAAACTGCCACCAGGCGTTAGCTGGCTCAAAGAAAAGAGCTCCAACCCCAACATGATGCAGCTCTTATGGCGCGTTTCCACTACAGCGCGGAGCACGGTTTAAGAGGGCTGTGACGTCAGCGGCCCGTCTTTGGTTGCGTTTCCACTTGGCCTAGTACCGGCCGGCGGGTCCTAATTCACAGTTTTTCTGGCCTCATAAAATCGTGGGTCTAGGGCCAGAGACAACGAGGCTGAGTCGGGCTGAGTATGCTAAACTAGAGAGAGCATCGCTGGCAAGGGGGGTACAACTACAACAAGATGGACATATTTGACCGTGATTTAATTGTAATACACGTTTCAAAATGATGCCGAAGTAACAACATACTGATACCGGTTAGTAAAAACCATGAATTAATGCTTTGTCAAGTCTGCAGACAGACGGCAGGCGAAAAACCTTTTAAAATGCGTGTTTTCTAAATGGAGATTGGCTAAGCTAACGCAGTATATGCTCCGACCGTCCACACTCACAACAACGGCCTATACAGACATAAATAAAGCAGCGACTGTATTCACCATGACACAGGCAGTCTGTGGTTTGTACTTGTTTAACTTTTGTCTAGTTTCTGAACAGATATGAGGAGCTGTGAGCTCTGAGGGCTAACAGCTAACGGCTGTGTTGTTTTTCTGGGGTTCTCATTGAAGATGACGTCACGGCTCCGCCCACACTGCGTTACTATAGATACTACCCCAGTTCCTAAACTGTAATGGAAATGCGCCATAAAGTGAGCCAGTCCTAACGAGGCCTAGCCATACCGAGCGAGGCCGAGCGAGGCCGTGTAGTGGAAACGCGCCATTAGTTTTGAACTCCCAATATCAGAGGCTTAAGATCTGCAAACATTGCGATATGTCATTCTATTGTCAGGGCAAGCAGTCAGACAATGTCCATGTTGCATGGTGTGTGTGTGGAGAGGACAGTGAATGCAGCAGCAGATAAAAGATGGATTTGGAGGAGGGGGTGTTAGCATGATGGGATTTGACCCAGTGACCTCACCGACAGCGTGGACTCCAGAGAGCCGGAGGACTGGGTGTCTCGGCTGCTTCTGCTCTTTGATCGGAGTCGAGGTGAGGAGGGGGGAGAGCCAGGGAGAGAGGGGGGGTCGCTGCGAGGCTCCAGATCATATCCATACGAGGGGGGGGTCTCACCGTAGGGAGCCTCTGTGAAGAGATAAAGAAGACCAAGAGTGTCGTTAATAGACTGTAGTGAACAAGGAGGAACAGCGTGGGGCATGAAGCCATCTCAAACACCCTCTGGGGGTATTCTAAAACCAGATGAATGGAGATTTAAAAGGCTAACAACGTTTTAACGAGGCTCCAACAACATCGCAACATACTTAAGACATACAAAGAAATGTAAGTGCAAGAAGACATTTAGCAGGTGATTGGTTTGTCTCATTTTGAACCTCTTTTTGGTTTGTTTATGTCGATTTAAGGACTATTATTGTCTTTTATTTGGTTAATTCATGACATTTTGTAGACATTTTGCCTCTTTGACTCCTATATGCTTATGCGTATAGTCACTGCGAGGCTCCAGAACATATCCATACGAGGGGGGGGGACAATGTTTCTTTTTTTATCAGCCTGATTAATCAAAAATGTGAATTGTTTTTAAGTATATGTGGATGTAGCTGTACATAAATCCCTCTGTTGTTGCCTTCTGCCCATCACATGTTAACCCATACAGATACGATAATACTTTAAAGGTCAGATCAAGTCTGAAATGCTCCTTGCATCACAGCAGCTCCATGCGTCACATCAACAGACATCCAGACACAATACATGGAAAACAAACATTTAACATGACCTCACGATCAGTGAGAGAGAACCTGCTCAGAGAGCCGTCAGCGTGCACCTGATCTGGGATTGCACGTCTGAAACGGTCTCTGATGGTATTTCTAAAAGCAGATTAATGGAGATTTAAAAGGCTAACAAAGATATTCACTTTTTCCAGGATTCAAAGACTTTATTGCAGAAGCAGAATAAATACAGCGAAGTATGAGCGATACAAATGTTAAGACCCAGGCTCCTCCAACAACGCAACACACTTACGAAATGTAAGTGCAAGAAGAAATGTTGCAGGATTTTTCTTTGTAGACATTTTGAGTTTCTTTTTGACAGTTTTGCATCACTTTGCAGTCCTTACATAACAAAAACCCAGGTTATACTCCATGTTGAGGTCATTTTCTGTCTGCTTTTGGTCATTTGACATCTCTTTGCAGTAATGCTGTGTCTCTTTTGGACGTATTGTGCTTGGTTTTCATCACTTTGCTTGTCTGTAGTCATTTTGCATGTTTTCATGGTCATTTTGAACCTCTTTCTGGTTTGTTTATGTCGATTTAAGGTCTATTTTCTGTCTTTTCTTTGGTTATTTCACGTCTATTTGTAGACATTGTGCCTCCTTGACACCTAAATGCTTTTTTCTGGTGCCATCTGTGACTTCCCAAGAACAAATATTAGCACCATCTTTAGAAATCCAGGTTTTACACCATGCTGACAACGTGTGTGAGCCAGAAACAAGTGTAACACGTCATATATATATATACGCCGTGTCGTGCTTATCCCCCCTGTGATTTCAGACTTTTGAGGAAACCCTGAAGAGGATCAACAGCTCGTGTATCCTGTCATTACTGTCAGCCACCCCTGACTCACCACCACTTATCATCATTATCATCATTATCCTGCAGAAAGGATCCATCTACCGACAGCAGTCATAAACACTGAGGCAGACATGTCGAAGTTAGGAAGGTATGTTGAGAAAAGGCTGCAAAACGGGTTGGAAAACAGGAAGGAGAGGATTCCGGAAACCATGTGGGGGGGGGGAAGAGGATAAAGCCGAGTCACCCTGGAGGACGGACAGGATGACATCCACAGAGACAAAAGACAAACACAGAGAGGCTGCGTTAGAGAAAAGGACGAGTGTCAGAGAGCAGGGGAAGTCCATGTGAAAGGCCACTCTGTGTTTCTGTGAGATTATAAATCAGCGTGAATAACACATCCTCTCTCAGACAGCACTGACTGCTTCCAGGGAAAAGAAACAAGGCAGAGCTCAGAAAAACACCAATAAGTTACAGTAAGAGGAGGATATGTGTTGCTAGAGGGGATTCTACACACACTAAATGACCATGGATAACTTAGCTTTTCACACACGCCTCTACAGTCCACGAAGAATCAAAGAGACAGAGAAACAACAGAGAAGAATCTTGATAAATTGAAGTCGATTTGTACATCAAATGATATCAATACATCCATTTCCAAACTCTCAGACTACTTGCCCAGTATAATCCAAGTGTCCTTTCCCCAGTCGTATGCTTAATACGACACACGACTTTTCATTAAAACTGCATTATGTAAAACATGAGAAGAGCGCCTGAGATTCTTAAAGGGGCCAAATTGTGCTCATTTCGAGGTTCATATTAGTATGTAGTGTCTCTACTTTAAAGAGTCCTCTCCTGCTGATGTTCAGGTGTATATCAGTATGTAGTGTCTCTACTTTAAAGAGTCCTCTCCTGCTGATGTTCAGGTGTATATCAGTATGTAGTGTCTCTACTTTAAAGAGTCTTCTCCTGCTGATGTTCAGGTGTATATCAGTATGTAGTGTCTCTACTTTAAAGAGTCCTCTCCTGCTGATGTTCAGGTGTATATCAGTATGTAGTGTCTCTACTTTAAAGAGTCCTCTCCTGATGATGTTCAGGTGTATATCAGTATGTAGTGTCTCTACTTTAAAGAGTCCTCTCCTGCTGATGTTCAGGTGTATATCAGTATGTAGTGTCTCTACTTTAAAGAGTCCTCTCCTGCTGATGTTCAGGTGTATATCAGTATGTAGTGTCTCTACTTTAAAGAGTCCTCTCCTGCTGATGTTCAGGTGTATATCAGTATGTAGTGTCTCTACTTTAAAGAGTCCTCTCCTGCTGATGTTCAGGTGTATATCAGTATGTAGTGTCTCTACTTTAAAGAGTCCTCTCCTGCTGATGTTCAGGTGTATATCAGTATGTAGTGTCTCTACTTTAAAGAGTCCTCTCCTGCTGATGTTCAGGTGTATATCAGTATGTAGTGTCTCTACTTTAAAGAGTCCTCTCCTGCTGATGTGCAGGTGTATATCAGTATGTAGTGTCTCTACTTTAAAGAGTCCTCTCCTGCTGATGTTCAGGTGTATATCAGTATGTAGTGTCTCTACTTTAAAGAGTCCTCTCCTGCTGATGTTCAGGTGTATATCAGTATGTAGTGTCTCTACTGGGACATGTCTCCATGCTTTAATGTTCAAAAAGCTCTTTATTTTTCTCATACTGCCTGTGCTGCAGCACCTCTTTTCACCCTCTGTCTGAAACCAGAGCCCAGTCTGCTCTGATTGGTTAGCTGGCCAGCTCTGTTGTGATTGGTCAACCGCTTAGAGATGTCCCGCCCCTTAGCCTATCACGTACAATGTGTTGGAGCTCTAGTTAATAGAAGCGTGAGTGTTATACAGGGAATTTAGCCTTTGCACAAAAACCTATATAACACATTACAGGAAAGGGAAAAATAATAATAGGGCCCCTTTAAAACTTAAATACAGAGATATTTTTGTATTTGAAATGACTTGTTTAAATGCATATGGCCTGTTTAGCTGTCCTAAGTGTGAGAAAATGGATCTGACAATAGACGATCAGTGATCACAGGGTCGATACGGAGGAAGTGTCCAGGCAGGTCTGCCCGGAAAGTTCTGCTATTCATCGCCTTCAGAGCGGAAACAGGCTTTCAGCACAAGGTCGTCTTTTACAAACAGCTACCCCCCCCCCCCCCCCTCACACACACACACACACTCAGATATCACCCTCACACACCAGCATTTAACCTTAAAATCTCCACACTTTCAGACCTACATGGAACCAGGTTTTTACTATTTCCAATACACCTTTGTTCCTTAAAATAAAGGTCTATTTGTACGTATGACCCAGTTTTGTGGCCTGTTGTTGTCTCTGTGTAACCTGTTCCTGTGTCCTCTGTGTGGCCTGTTCCTGTGTCCTCTGATTGTGAAACAGTTTGTCACCTTTTCAACAAGAGCTGAGCAAATAAACCGAAGTGTAGATGGCTCCTTAACACCCTGCAAACCCATGTGCAGTTTGTACAAACAAAAGCATAACTAAGGGTGAAATCAAATGTATATTTAAGAGTTTAAAACAATGACTTACATGGTTACTGATGTGAAGATGTGGGTCAACAACTAAAAACACAACTAAATGCGTATAAAAAGGCAGCAAATTCATTTATATTTAAACTATAATGTGAAAAGAATGTAAAAATTGCAGCAAATATGAAACATTTTAGGCAAATATTTTTAAATTTAAATTATGTTTGGAAAAATAAGACTTTAAATTATAAAATTGCAGAAAATGCTTTTCAATTTAAACTATAATGTGAAAAATAAGACTTTAACCTATCAAAAATGCAGCAAATGTATTTAAATATAAAATGTAATGGGGGGGGGGAAAAAATGTAGGAAATGTTTTTTACAATTATTCAATATAATATCCATCAACTAATCTAATTTAAAAATCAAAAAATGCTAAATTAAGTCAACTGTTTTTTAGTATATTGCTGTTAGATTTCATCTGTAAATTAGATTTCTTAATATTTGTGTTTATGGCACTCCTATGACGGTATATGTGATCAATAACAAACACTCAGCACCATCAGGAGTGTGTGTGGAGACCAATCTTTCTGCAGCTGGTTTACATCGCGCCATAATAAATACGCTCTAATGACGTTACATAAGATCTGACAGCTGTGAGGATCAGAGCTGGTTCGTTTTGCACTGTCTCTGAACTCTGCGTTTTCAAGAATTTCATTTGCTGGTATTCCCACAAGTCACGGTTTTATACGAGTCGGATTACTGCGAGAAAGATAAAGCAAGATTATGATTATGATCAACTTTTAATTCACTGAGACGTTGTTTTTCTGCCTAGCAACACTGAATACTCTGAGTGATTGGTCTTAACCCTAATGTTGTGTTCAGGTCTCCCGTGACCCGTTTCAAGTTAAAATTATATAATAACTACGCTCTAGTTTTTTCGGAACAAGGCTTCATGATATCCTCCACAACAGCTATATAAACACTACAAAACTGATTTTGACCATTTTTGCCACGTCTGAAGGTCTCTAAAAAGAAAGTGTATAATTTGGTG